GAATAAAAGTTAATTCCGCTTTAAAAAGATGATAAAAATAATTCCGAAGTAAGTGGGTGATTTTTTCTAATTTTAAAGCCAAATTAATTTATTCCTGGATCATGTAAACGTTTACTCTTGTTAAAAATAATCCCGGTGGTTCAGTTCATGTTCGTTGTGTCGTCCTTCGATCCGGCTCCACCAGTCCTGCTTGGGACTTTCCTCCACGTCTCTTTGGATTTGTGAGCGGGATGTGGGAGTGGGCTGAAGTAGAGCAGCCTCGCACTCACTTTGTCTTCTTCCTCCTTCTCCGACACTCTTCCCTTCTCCTCCTCAGCCGACAGACGTAAAGCGTGACGAGACAATTCTCCAGCTGCTGCTTCGCAATTATCATCGGAAAAAGTTTGGATGGTGTTTGTGTCCGTGGTGTAACGACAAACCGAGATGACAGAAAAGCCGGGAGCAGCTGAAGTGTTTGTGTTTTCAACGTAAATACGTTTGTATCTCTGTCCAATCAGAACCTTCCCCACCCCCAGACTTTGAGCAGAATTAAATTAAATAAAGACGATTTAATGAGTTTTCCATGTAAACCTCAATTCTGAATTATTATTTCCATGTACACTCGAAGGAGAATATTTTAATTCAGAAATGAAAAACATCATGTAAATGTGTTTTCTTGTTCCTTTTTTTGTTCCTTTTTTCATGACAAAATTCCGCAATGGTGCCTTGAGTCTCGAATGCATGAGAATAAAACTAGTCAAACATGAATCAGCATAAGAAATGTAAAAATAACTTGGAGTTGATTTAGTGAAAAGGAGTAACGCGACTTTAATTATAAGAAAAAAAGAAGGAACTACACAGACAATGAGTTAAATTAATAATAATAATAAAAATAGACAGTGTTTACAATCTTAAACCATTGAATTTCCTACTTTTAAAGCTGCACTGTGTAACTTTTCTGGTGGAGGGTCCGTATGAAAGTTAAATTAAACAGCTCTACTTTATATTTATTCAATTACGGGTGGTTTTAAAGTTCAAAAATACCTAGAAAACGTGGAGTTCTGACTGTGAGAAAAGCGTTCGACGGACCCTCCAGCAGAAAAGTTACACAGTGCAGCTTTAGCGTTTAGTTTCGGACGGTCTTACCTTTGAGTCCGAGAGTCTGGAGCTGGAAAAGCCTCCCGAGTTCATAAGGCAGGACTCGTAGAAGATTGTTGTTTAAAAGCAATTCCCTGCACAACGACAAAAAGCCAAAATATCCAGTGAAAAGGAAACAAGTTCAAGCTCAGCAGGTTGGACTTCATTTCGTAACATTTTCTGACAACATGTCAAGTCAATATGCAAAAGAACTAAAACTAAAGTGGAAATTCTTATGCATTTTTGGGACACTTTTGTAATGTTACTTCACAGTTTAAAAGGTGCATTGTGTAACTTTTCTGTTGGAGGGTCCATCCAATGTGTTTCTCCATGGAGATGTTATTGCTTTGTTTGGAATGTCCCACAGTGCGGCATTAAACCGTTCTATCTTCATGGAGACCGAACCGGACCAAGTTACAGGTCAGATCTGTGGAGAGGCGACCCCGCTCTCAGTCAGAATGTTTGTTTTTTTACTTATTTGAGATATAAATCCACCTGTAATTTAATAAATGTAAAGTCGAGCTGTTTAATGTCATACTGTGGAACATTACAAGCAAACGAATGACATATTGTATCCACAGAAACAAGCAGGTGACGGACCCTCCAGAAAAGTTACACAATGCACCTTTAAATAACTTCTATATAGAAAAGACAAAAGCTGCTTTCAGTTTCTAAGCACTAGACAGAAAAAAGCAGCTATACAGGCAACTTTTAGTGACTCCAAAGATCACTGTAGTGGATCTGGACGGTTCAATATCAATGTTTCCTTTTGTTAGTTTTTTTTTTTGTAATTTTTCTTTTTATTATTTCTTAAGGTGACCTGGGGGGTATTCCATGAAGCGAGATAAAGTGAAAGCCTGGTTTATTTGGCCAGTCCTGGTTTATCAAGGCTGAGGTGACTGACCAGAGGTGACCTGAGTTGCCGCAGTAACAAACACCCGGAAACAAACCTGGTCAGGACCAGACAAACTGTCAAGATTAATTTAGCTTTGTCTCCATGAATATCTAAAGAAACAGTTTAGTCCAAAGTTTCAGCACGAGCATCACACACCTGTGTAAAACACACACACCCGTGTAAAACACACACCTGAGTCAGAAACACCTGTCTCTCTGTGATACAGTTTAAAAAGTGAATTTTACAGTCAAGTCTCTATAGACTTTTACAGTCCATACACTGCCTCTCCTCACGCTTCTCAGCTCAGAATGACTGGAAACGTTCCGTGTCCCAAATGAAGCTCTTGTCCGTGCGCTGTGGCTCCTCTCTCATTTAATCAGATCATTTAAAAGTCATACTTTGAGCCCATTTTCCGTGATGTCGTTGCTCCATTGATCTGTCCTTCTCAGAGTCACTTCAGGCCTGAGTGGCTTTAGTCTGGCTCAGGATTATTTCTGTCATGGAATGAACTGAGTCTTAAACAAGAGATGGAGCGAGATTCAGCTCAGGATTTCAGGAGAAGCCTGGACATGATAAGCCTCTTTAATGGAACACACCCTGGTGTGTATAAACTTACAAATAAACTGAGCCGTACATGTTTTCATTGTTTTCATTGTACTAACACATTTACATATATAGAGTTTTCTCTGTCTGGGCGTCGTACCTGAGAGACACCATGTTGCCCATCTCGGCGGGCAGGCTGCGGAGCTTGTTGGACGACAGGTTCAGGTAGAGCAGGTGCGGCAGGCGCGCGATGTCAGGGGGCAGGCGGCTCAGATTGTTGTCCTGGATGTGGAGCGCCGTGAGGTGAGTGAAGGTCCAGAGAGAGCTGCTCAGACTGCGAACGCGACCTGGACAAAGACACACAAGTACAAGAGGAGTCAGAGTATACGAGTACAAGTACAAGAGGAGTCAGAGTATACGAGTACAAGTACAAGAGGAGTCAGAGTATACGAGTACAAGTACAAGAGGAGTCAGAGTATACGAGTACAAGTACAAGAGGAGTCAGAGTATACGAGTACAAACACAAGAGGAGTCAGAGTATACGAGTACAAGTACAAGAGGAGTCAGAGTATACGAGTACAAGTACAAGAGGAGTCAGAGTATACGAGTACAAGTACAAGAGGAGTCAGAGTATACGAGTACAAGTACAAGAGGAGTCAGAGTATACGAGTACAAGTACAAGAGGAGTCAGAGTATACGAGTACAAGTACAAGAGGAGTCAGAGTATACGAGTACAAGTACAAGAGGAGTCAGAGTATACGAGTACAAGTACAAGAGGAGTCAGAGTATACGAGTACAAGTACAAGAGGAGTCAGAGTATACGAGTACAAGTACAAGAGGAGTCAGAGTATACGAGTACAAGAGGAGTCAGAGTATATGAGTACAAGTACAAGAGGAGTCAGAGTATACGAGTACAAGTACAAGAGGAGTCAGAGTATACGAGTACAAGTACAAGAGGAGTCAGAGTATACGAGTACAAGAGGAGTCAGAGTATACGAGTACAAGTACAAGAGGAGTCAGAGTATACGAGTACAAGAGGAGTCAGAGTATATGAGTACAGTCTGTGTTAGAAAAGTTCATTTTCTACATAAACTAGTTCAAAGTTCATTTCACAAATTTCAAAATGATCTTGTTTGTTCATAATTGTTTATAGTTGATGGTTCGTTCATGTTTCCAAAAAATGAACTAGTTCATTGTTCATTTATTTCAAAACGTTGCTGTGAGTGATTATTTTTTCAGTATCGTTGCCAAAGCCCAAATAGAACCACAGTGTGTGGTTTGAAGTTTGCTGTTGATGTGACTGAAGTGTGGATTTTGTTTTTGAAAGCTGCCGGGCAAAGTTTGCACATAAATGTGAGGTTCTTTCCTTCCTCACCGACCTTGTCATAGAGTCTTTTAAATTTAATGTTTGACGGTTTGATGGACCCTCGACCGGAAAAGTTACAGTTCTTTAAACCCAAGTTATCTTCTCATAATGATACACTTAATTTCATCTAAAACTAGAAGATTATTTCACCAAATCCTGAAATAAAAATAATTTCTGTGACAGTGTGAGGTACAGACCGGAGATCTCCAGCTCCGCCCACTGGGACTTTTTGCCACTGGCCACTTCGTCGGCCGCCATGATGGAGTAACACCTGCGCGGGTCGGGAGGCTCATATTTTTCCTTTGGCATTACTGGTATTCTGAAAAATATCATAAAAAAACAGGTCAGATCTGTGGAGAGGCGACTCCGCTCAGTCAGAATGTCTGTTTTTCTAGGTATTTTTGAGCTTTAAAACTTCCTGTAATTGAATAAATGTAAAGTTGTATAATGTCACACTGTGGAACATTCCAAGCAGAGAAAGGACATCTCCACAGAAACAAGCAGGTGACAGACCCTCCACCAGAAAAGCTACAGAATGCACCTTTAAGAACAGCAGATTACATGTCCTTCGTGACCTTCCAGCACTGATTAAAACATGAATCACAAATCTTAATCACAATCACAAAGCTTGTCAGAAAAAATGCAATTGGACTTTTTTTTCACAAATCGTTCATGTTTAGTTTGAACATTAACAGGAGAAAATATAAATAACTGGGGAAATCAGATAACCCCATAATCTGATTACTGGTGTTTACAGTTAAAATAACATTCTTTGTCAGTGCTGGATTAGTCGAGGGCTGTGCACGAATGAGTTTGTGTAGTTTGTGTGCGTTTACATTTTGTCCACTGCATGTGCAGCTACACGGAGGCTCGGCTCTTTAATATTCACGAGAGAACTCGTCCGTGACTGGGGCAGTGTTTCCTGCAGCGCTTTATAGTTAGGGCAACTGCCTTGACAACAAATGCCCCCCCGTCTCGACTAAATCCACAAACCACGTGAATCCTCAAAAAGCTACAGTTGTCGCGCAGCAGTCCTCACTTTTGCCTTTTGCCGCAACCTCTGTCCCCAGCAAAAGTGTATTTTCAACCTCTGGAGACACTGTACCTGCAGTGTCAGTGCAGACAATGTGGACAAGTTGGTTTTCTGGCCAAAAATAAAGTAAAGTGAGTAAAACTTCATAATGGAACTGTTATTGCTTTATTTTTTGAAAAGTTTTGTTTACTGTGTACAAGGAATTTATTTTTTATAATATTTCATACATTTGTTGCTTATAATAATATAATATTTTATTAAACTTATTAGTTTTTACCAAGCAGCACTTTTACATTTATTTTATTTTCCCGTTTGTATAATGTTCAAACAAATTGATGGTTTAATAAACACAAATAAACAACAAGTAAATGGTTTTGTATTTTGTTCCCAAACTGTACAAAAATGAAACAAACCGTGATTTTTGTGTAACATTAAACATCTACAAAGCATATTAGATTTAGTTTTAAAGGGCCCATATTACATTATTAACTGATCTATGTTCTAATGTTGTTTCCTCATCACAAACAGACCTGGAGTTGTGGTTTGTTTCATTCACCCTGCACATTCAGGCTTAGTTCTTCTCAGAAAACATTCTGCTCCACTCAATCATTTGGATGAATCAGGCCTAAAACTCCCAAATCTCCACTGAACTAAAGTTAAAAGGAGCTGTTCACTTGAAAACTATCGCTTCATTGGCAGGAAAAAAGGCGATTACAAAAAAATGGATGACACAAACTGCACCATCGATCAAAGACTGGTCGGAAATTATAAATGAAATTCAAAAAAATGGAAAAAATAATATTTCGACTTAATTTGAAAATGGACTCTTTGAAATCCGAGGCCATGGTTCTCGACTGGAAAAAGATGTCTTGCCCTCTCTGATTGAGGGGAAAGGTCCTGCCTCAAGTGGAGGAGTTCAAGTATCTCGGGGTCTTGTTCACGAGTGAGGGAAGGATGAAGCGTGAGATTGACAGGCGGGTCGGTGCAGCATCTGTAGTGATGCGGTCGCTGTATCGGACTGTTGTGGTGAAGAGGTTGAATCTATGGTCCTATCTTCACCTACAGTCATGAGCTTTGGGTAATGACCAAAAAAAAAAGATCGCAGCTGCAAGCGGTCGAAATGTGTTTCCTCTTCAGGCTCCCTTAGAGATAGGGTGAGGAGCTCAGTCACACGGGAGGAGCTTGGAGTAGAGCCGCTGCTCCTTCACATCAAGAGGAGCCAGCTGATTGCATTTCTCTCTGGAAGGAGGCCCCGAGGAAGACCCAGGACACGCTGGAGGGACTATGTTTCTCTGGGCTTGCTTAGGAAAGTACCACCTGAAGAGCTGGAGGAAGTGTCCGGGGTGAAGGAAGTCTGGGAGTCCCTGCTTAAACTGCTGTCCCCGTGACCCAGCCCTGGATAAGCAAAAGTCTTTTTGTCTTACCTCATGCAGTTGAATGCCTCTCCCAGTCTGCTCCTGTGTTTCATGGGACTACTTCATGAATGAGCCGGCTCTTTGGAAACGTTCCTTAATGTGGACAGTTTGAACTGATTCTGATTTGTATTAATTTTTACACGGATTAAAACTGAGCCAAAACAGGAAGCAGCACAGAAGCAGAGTTGACATCACGAGTGAGAGATTTGTACAAAATAAACGTATCTGGCATCAAAATAACAGTTTAAATTATTATTATTGTGGTGGATTGTTTTATTTAGATAATGCATCATTCCAATGGGTAAACACACTCCCACTCTAAGTTTGAACTATTTTACACACTGCTAATTTTCAGGTTATTCATCTTGTTTTCAGATTTATTTTCTACTTACTAATTCTCAGACGGATTAATTCAAGTCTAGAGAAAGTTTATTTTAAGATTATTTGTTAAGTAAAATTATCTTGCTGCCTGAACAGATCATTTCACTACTTTTAATCATCTTCTGATAGATTTAAGAGTTTATATATTAACATTTTGGCCAAGCTCTTTTGCAGTGCACAGATGTGAGCATTGGACATTTGTCTCTATAGTTTGAAGATAAAGTAAGTGAACACGACAGCTTCTGTCTTGTAAATACGTATTAAAAGAGCCAGTATTTTGATTGGCTCTTTGACATTAATGGACTAAACAGATCTCATTAAAGAGCTGAACATCTCTACAGTATTTCTCAGACAATACAGAAGCAGAAACTGAAGAATTATAATCAAACAAGAGCATGACACTATCCCAGACAGTTGATTCTTTGTCATGGTGTAGTAAAAGGGCTAAGTGTGCGGGGTTAAATGTTCAAATTAAAACATGTTCCTGTGTGTTTGAAATCAGGTCCATGGTATTTAAGGTATGTGACATCTCTTACAAAGCTGGTGTGTTGCTTTTTCCACAGGGCTGAGCTCACCTCTGTGCTGACATGTCATCATCACGTGTAGGACGCCACAGAACTGTACGTCCCAAAGGCTCTGAGGCAATACTGAGCTCACGCTTATTTTCATTGTCACTGTGACAAATGTCTGTGTTTAGTTTGTCACACCTCCCCTCAGAGGTTTGTTGACTTAAGATGGATTCAGGACTTAATCTGCTGGTGTCAGTAAATATGACGAAACCACAGTCATGTTTCAAAAGTAAAATGAAAGGTTAAATTAAGACTGCAGTTAATTGAATTTTGATCACGATTTTTATTTGTGTCAAACGATCTCCAAACTCATATAATCGAGCTGAAACGATTAATTTATTTAATAATATTGATTAGCAATTTTATGTTCAAAGTATTTTTTTTTTTTCATTTTATATTTTATACATCGCAAAACTCCTCTAAGGTTCATATTTTTAGTCTATATTTATTTTCAATTTGAAAGTTTTGTGCAAATTATCGATATTTGAGAGAGAAATGCTGAATAAATGCATCATGTAACTATAAAATAAGCGTTTGAATAATCGTGGTTTTAATATTGACCAAAATAATTGTGATAGTGATTTTTTTTTTCCATAATCGAGCAGCCCTAGGTTAACTGTAACTTTTACAGTATGGCATTCATCTTCCATACTGTATCTTGGCATGGAATTCCAAACCAATTGACCTTGGATGAATGCTTCTATAACAAAAAACATGCTCTAAAGCTAAACTTCACAATTTCTACTGGCATGAACTAGACCTTCAAGGGGTTAAAGCAGACATGTCAAACTCAGGCCCGGGGACAAATTTTGCCCACGATATAATTATATTTGGCCCCCGAGATCATAGCAAATATGCATTAGAGCTGGCCTGCCTGGACTTATCTGGAAAGAAGAGAAAACATGGATGTTTTTCAATAAATATTTAGTTTGGCCCATGACTTAGTTCCAGTTTTTAATTTTGGCCTCTGTGAATTTGCGTTTGACACTCCTGGGTTAAAGCAACACTTTGTTACAAAGACATTTCAACCTTGATTTTATTCTTGGGAAGCATCCATTTAAAAACATCTCCTAAGACATTTTGAAGTATTTTAGTCTGTTTTCGCAAGTGGTGGACTTTACCCAAAGCTAAACAACCAGAGTCAAATTGCTCGACCCTTTGGTTCCCTGAAGGTTTTTCAGCACCAACTCTAATAGAAAAGATTCCCATGTGCAGCAGCAACTCATTGTTTCATCATAATTTTCAAACTTTAGTAAAAACTTAAAACAGTCTTGGCAAAGCAATACAAAACCTGGCCGGTTAGCTCAGTTGGTTAGAGCGTGGTGCTAATAACGCTGAGGTCACGGGTTCAATCCCCGTACAGGCCAATTAAGTTTTAACACATACAGTACCTTGCATTTATTCAATTACAGTTTAAGTAACCCTGAAACACATTCTTACTGTAAACGGGCTCTCTGCCACTCTACAAATCTGACCTGTAATGTGTTGACACCTGCTTGTCTCTATGGAGAAGTTTAATGCCATATTCTGGAACATCTATAGTGACCAGCAGGTAGCAGACTCTCCATAAAAGTTACATACTACACACATGTTTAACACACAAACCCTGCTTATTTAGGCTGAGTGCTTCTCTCAAACAGGAAACCACCTTGTGATTTCATGCTGTAAAACAGGAAGTGCTCCACTGTGTTTTTAAACTCCATACGCCTGGATGATTTCAGCCATGGAATTGTGGAATTGACGATCTCTACTGAATAAAAAGTTTAGCTAACTAAGGTAACTTAAAAACCACCACTACATGACATCACAAGGTGGCACAAAGCATTCTGAGCCTGAGAGATGCAGACATACTAAAGATAAAGAATTACTCAAACATATGTGAATGAAACAAAACACAACTCCAGGTAAGTTTTTTGA